AACCCTAACCCTAACCCCATCCCTAACCGCAACCCTAACCCTATCCCTAAAACTAACCCTAACCCAAACCCTGTCCCTACCCCTATCCCTAACCCAACCCAAACCCTGGCCCTGGCCCTAACCCTATCCCTATCCCCAACCCTATCCCTAGCCCTAACCCAAACCCAAACCCTGTTCCTAACCCTAACCCTAACCCTGTCCCTAACCCTAACCCTATCCCTATCCCTAACCCTAACCCTATCCCTATCCCCAACCCTAACCCTATCCCTAACCCCAACCCTAACCCTAACCCTATCCCTAACCCCAACCCTAACCCTATCCCTAAAACTAACCCTAACCCTAACCCTAACCCAAACCCTGTTCCTAACCCTAACCCTATCCCTATCCCCAACCCTAACCCTATCCCTAACCCCAACCCTAACCCTATCCCTAAAACTAACCCTAACCCTAACCCTAACCCAAACCCTGTTCCTAACCCTAACCCTATCCCTAACCCCAACCCTAACCCTAACCCTATCCTTAACCCTAACCCTAACCCTAACCCTAACCCTGTTCCTAACCCTATCCCTATCCATATCCCTAAGCCTAACCCTAACCCTAAGCCTAACCCTATCCCTAACCCTAACCCTAACCCTAACCCTAACCCTATCCCTAACCCTGTTCCTAACCCTAACCCTGACCCTGACCCTAACCCTAACCCTATCCCTTAACCCTAGCCCTAGCCCTAGCCCTAGCCCTGACCCCGACCCTGACCCCGACCCTGACCCTGGTCCAGACACCCATGAGGGAGGAGAGCGGCCTCCGTGCTGTTCGGGGGACCCCTGTCTTTTCTGTGGTTCTGGGGTGCTGTTCGCGGCGAATTCTGTGGGAACGTTTCCTGGAGGAGAGAAGCTGAGCTGGAGCCGCCCGGGAGGCCCTCAGGGGCTGCGGCTCCACAAGGTCGTGGCGCGGGCGGGGCGGGCCCATGGGCGCGGGCTTCGGCAGGAGCGGGGTTCCCGCGCCTGGCCCTTTCCCTGGGAGCTCACTTAAATGAGGAAAGCTCGTGGCTGCACCAGCCACGGCCCCACCGGCAAGCAGCCGGCGTGGCAGCGGCCCGGCCCGCCCATGAGCGCCGAGGTCCTGGGCGCCTGTGTGCGCGCGTGTGCTTCTGTGATTGCGTGTGGTGTGGGCGCGCGCGTGTGCTTCTGTGATTGTGTGTGGTGTGTGCGTGTGCGTGCGTGCGTGTGTGTGCTTGTGTGACTGTGTGGTGTGGGCGCGCGCGTGTGCTTCTGTGATTGTGTGTGGTGTGTGCGCGTGTGTGTGCTTGTGTGACTGTGTGGTGTGGGCGCGTGGTGTGCTTCTGTGATTGTGTGTGGTGTGTGCGCGCGCGTGTGCTTCTGTGATTGTGTGTGGTGTGTGCGTGTGCATGCGTGGTGTGTGTGTGTGTGTGTGTGCTTGTGTGACTGTGTGGTGTGTGCGTGTGCATGCGTGGTGTGTGCGTGTGTGTGTGTGCTTCTGTGATTGTGTGTGGTGTGTGCGCGCGCGTGTGCTTCTGTGATTGTGTGTGGTGTGTGCGCGTGTGTGTGCTTGTGTGACTGTGTGGTGTGTGCGTGTGTGTGTGCTTGTGTGACTGTGTGGTGTGTGCGCGTGGTGTGTGTGCGCGCGCGTGTGCTTCTGTGATTGTGTGTGGTGTGTGCGTGTGCATGCGTGGTGTGTGCGTGTGTGTGTGTGCTTGTGTGACTGTGTGGTGTGTGCGTGTGCATGCGTGGTGTGTGCGTGTGTGTGTGTGCTTCTGTGATTGTGTGTGGTGTGTGTGCGCGCGTGTGCTTCTGTGATTGTGTGTGGTGTGTGCGCGTGTGTGTGCTTGTGTGACTGTGTGGTGTGTGCGTGCGTGTGTGTGCTTGTGTGACTGTGTGGTGTGTGCGCGTGGTGTGTGTGCGCGCGCGTGTGCTTCTGTGATTGTGTGTGGTGTGTGCGTGTGCATGCGTGGTGTGTGCGTGTGTGTGTGTGCTTGTGTGACTGTGTGGTGTGTGCGTGTGCATGCGTGGTGCGTGCGTGTGTGTGTGTGCTTCTGTGATTGTGTGTGGTGTGTGTGCGCGCGTGTGCTTCTGTGATTGTGTGTGGTGTGTGCGCGTGTGTGTGCTTGTGTGACTGTGTGGTGTGTGCGTGCGTGTGTGTGCTTGTGTGACTGTGTGGTGTGTGCGCGTGGTGTGTGTGCGCACGCGTGTGCTTCTGTGATTGTGTGTGGTGTGTGCTTGTGCATGCGTGGTGTGTGCGTGCGTCTGTGTGCTTGTGTGACTGTGTGGTGTGTGCGCGTGGTGTGTGTGCGCGCGCGTGTGCTTCTGTGATTGTGTGTGGTGTGTGTGCGCGCGTGTGCTTCTGTGATTGTGTGTGGTGTGTGCGTGTGCATGCGTGGTGTGTGTGTGTGTGTGTGCTTGTGTGACTGTGTGGTGTGTGCGTGTGCATGCGTGGTGTGTGCGTGTGTGTGTGCTTGTGTGACTGTGTGGTGTGTGCGTGTGCATGCGTGGTGTGTGCGTGTGTGTGTGCTTCTGTGATTGTGTGTGGTGTGTGTGCGCGCGTGTGCTTCTGTGATTGTGTGTGGTGTGTGCGCGTGTGTGTGCTTGTGTGACTGTGTGGTGTGTGCGTGCGTGTGTGTGCTTGTGTGACTGTGTGGTGTGTGCGCGTGGTGTGTGCGCGCGCGCGTGTGCTTCTGTGATTGTGTGTGGTGTGTGCTTGTGCATGCGTGGTGTGTGCGTGCGTCTGTGTGCTTGTGTGACTGTGTGGTGTGTGCGCGTGGTGTGTGTGCGCGCGCGTGTGCTTCTGTGATTGTGTGTGGTGTGTGCGTGTGCGTGCGTGCGTGTGTGTGCTTGTGTGACTGTGTGGTGTGTGGTGTGTGTGTGTGGTGTGTGTACATGTGTGTGCTTGTGTGACTGTGTATGGTGTGTGTGCGCCTGTGTGATTGTGTGGTGTGTGTGTGGTGTGTGTTTGCTTGTGTGTGCATGTGGTGTGCGTACATGTGTGTGTGTGCTTGTGTGACTGTGTGTGGTGTGTGCACATGTGTGATTGTGTGTGGTGTGTGTGCGTGTGTGCTTGTGTGACTGTGTGGTGTGTGCGCGCGCGTGTGCTTCTGTGATTGTGTGTGGTGTGTGCGCGTGTGTGTGCTTGTGTGACTGTGTGGTGTGTGCGTGTGTGGTGTGTGTACATGTGTGTGTGCTTGTGTGACTGTGTGTGGTGTGTGCACGTGTGTGATTGTGTGTGGTGTGTGTGCGTGCGTGTGGCCAGCAGCAGCTCCGTTCTCTTTCCTCCGGAGACTGGTGCTCCCAGGGGCAGAGGCAGAGGCGGGGGTGAGGGGGTGGGAATGGCCTGAGCCGCAGGTGGAGGGGGAGCCCTGCCCCAGGCGGGAAGCCAAGCCGCAGGAGCAGCGGAGTGCTGGCGCCCCCTGGTGGCCCCTGGCCGCCATGCCTGGTCTCTGCCCACGTGGTTGCCTCCAGCCTCC